TTAGCATATTCTGATATTTGTCCCACTAATACTTTTAATTCACCTCGATCTGCTACCGATTTCAAATGGTTTACAGTCTGTTTGTGCAAATGTAAATTCTAGACTAGCTGTTTGAGTGCAAAAGAGGCCAAGCGAAATATCAGAAGCAGAATCTATTGTGACCAAATAGTCACAGAAAGCAGTTAATTTGAATACAAGATTGCTAAAACTTGATTAATCGTCTGGCAGAATGACTAGATCTCCGTGGTAGCCTGTGCAGGCCTAGTATAGGAGATTTAGGCGCTATGAGTTGCTTAAGGTGAAGCTAGATTGATGGTGAATTTTCCCACAAAGAGATGAGCGGGCATCGTGATGCCCTTGGATTTCACCTTGTCTTGCCTCATCCAGATTTGACTCTAGTTCCTCTCTCGCCTGGGTCTCATCAACGCCCCAGCGGGACTCGAACCTGGCCAGGGTGGCGTATCATTTCGACATGCCGTCACTTCGCCACACTGCAACGACTGTCACGGCCGTCAGCCTGCCCTTGTGAGGCCCAATCATATGACTGTGGGAAAATTGTCTATCAGTCCTTCATCAGCCTAGGCTATCCAGGATGACTAAGGTCCTTAGTCACGATCTACTGATAGTCTTGAAATCCGACTCAATGTGAAGACAAAGCTGGTATATTCGAGAAAGCTGACAAGAGGGCCTAGGAGAGCCAGACGTTTGTGCTGTACAGCAAGCCAATATGGAAGCACACTTTCTATTGTCAGTCGCCAGGACAGACAGACGAGGCAGTGGTGGTCTCCATAAAAGCACCCGCATCAGGACCCCCCAGGTCAGGCAGAATGCCATCTGTGAACTCGTTCACGTGGCCAGACAGCCACCCTCTCCTACTTGCCCCTCTGCCCCTTATTTGCTCTCGGCACACTCGTGCACGCCCATTAAGGTACCCTTAGACAAATCGGCTCTCACCCTCATTCACACGTACTTTGCTGTATCACACACACACACACACACCATCATTGTCGCTCTTCCATCAGGTTTGTCTGCACTCCCCGGCCCCTCACCTCTCAGTGAGACAACATCTTGCAGGCTGCACGACTTGTGGTCACTGCTATCAAGATCCTCAAGAATATAATAGTCATGGAATTAATTCGGGAACAGGAAGTGCAAGAAACAAACAGGTAGCATACTAAGGGGGGTCAATTCAGTTCAAAGGCCGAATGGTTTGCCAGTATGCATCAATTAACCTGGGTGCAGCTCACAACCATGCCACTGGTTTGAGAAACCAGAAACCCCATCAGCTACGGCATAGTTACTTTGATGCAGAAACGCCGTTGTTGCAGGAATATGGCAGGATAGGGAAAAAAGACAGTCTAAAACAAAAAGTCTTGCTTCGGATGAGAACAGCGCACAGGGGAAAAGATAAAGTTGAGTCAGTCTGGGGTGGAAAACGTCTGGCAGCAAGTAGGCCCGGGCAATAACGGAAGACGAAACTGACTCGACATTTGAGGGCTGAA